TTTATTTTCCTGTGACGTTCTATCAACTGAAATAGATAACCTTTACATAATGTACAATGGTTACATTTACTTTGTTCTACTTAAGCCTGAGTCCGGGCTATTTCCTGAGAATTTGTCAAAAAAATCAATGTTACATTTCCCATTTCACCTAGATTTAGTCTGTCTACTCTTGATATCTGGTAAACAATACAACTTTCATAACCAAAATTTACTTTTAACCTCCATTGAAAAAGAAACTATGTCACAAATGTTGAAATCTGTCATTCTTTGATATATGTAATGCAAAACTGTTGAACTGTAGCCAATACCAAGTTTTGTTCTAATTTAACTAAGCTGTGAGGATCACAAACAGAAACTAGAGCACAGACAGCATATGGCAATGTCCACTGTTGCTGCACCAAGCATGCATACTGAATAATCATGAAAGAGGATGAACAATCAGACACCTTGCATTAAGAAATGGAAACAATGTTTTACTAAAGCTACAGCTAAAATTATATCATAGTACACAGTGGAATGTTGAAGTGTTCTGCCTCTTGGATGAAAAAATAAAATGTTAAATACTTGCAAAAAGTGAGCTTTTACCACAGAATGAAATTTCTCAAATGAGCACAGCCACTGTTCACAGGTACACATAAAATCATAGAAGACTCACTTCCTTGTACTTTCTAACGAAACCTCGCTACTGAAAAGAAAGAGAACTTTAGTGCAAAGGCAAACTCTTGTATATGACAAAACGTGCTGGCAGAAAAAAAGACCTCTGTCTGGAAACAAGAGAGGAACAGAAACGAAATATTGCACTAAATACCATTGCATAATTGTAGCGACAGTTAAAAAAAAAAAGAGCAAGTTGCAATAACGATACCATACAGACTGATGCTGTTGCTGAAACTACATGATTACCCCCCCCCCCCCCCCCCCAATCATTTACGCAATACAAAAATAACGCTTCCATCTCTTGATTCTAGGAATACTTTTTAACTGAAAACGGTACCCACACCATTCTTCTATGATGTTCACAGTTCGAGACAACAGAATGGAAACATTGGAAATAAAATAAACCATTTTGAGGGGTGAATCACACACACATACAATATAAATATAAATACATAGGCCTATATTATATATACCATTGCTTGTCAACCTAGGCGATACTGCTCCCTAGTTGGCGTTTGCGTAACCAGTGGGCAAAGGGGAACCCCCGAGGGGCGACAAGTATCATGGAGCTGTGCCAATTCGACTTTCCTATTCAACAATCAGGATACTTGTACTATTCACAAATATTAAAAGTGAAGCAGAGCAATTCTATGCCCTGAGATTTTCAAAAAAACAGATAATTGATTTCTTCTCATTTACCTCAAACCGTAGTATAATTAGAGCATATCATATCTAAAATCAATGAGATAAATACAGAACTACTCTGTACTTGAAGGTTATGAAACAGTGATAAGAGGAGGCACCAAGAACAATAAAACATGCCTGTAAAGAGTATCCATTACTACTCCATATTCACTAGTGACGCAATGAATAGCTCAAGCAAGGGCACTTCACTCTTGAAGTGCATCAAAAGTTGTTGTTTTTTCGCAATGAGCTCGCTTTCCCCTATTTGAAATTTGAGGTGTTTGGTTATGAAAATTGACCTTATGTCATCGCATAGCACTGTGCGCAAGAGAACGCACTTGCTTTCAGGGACTGGTGCTATGAATAGTGAGCGAACACTGAACAGCAGAAGTTAGGGATCGACTTATCATACATAACAGAAAAAGCATTCAATGGAGGCATTCTAATAGCATGAATGGTAACCTCACGCTTCGAAGCATCGATGAAGCTTGATTTCCTCAAAATCGCACAGCACTATGGTATCATTTAATGCCCCACCTGGTAATGCATGGGGGTGAGCAGTACACAAATGTTAACCTCTTAAAGGTGTCAAAAGTGGGCCTTGGTTATAAAAAAGTTGACAAGCACTGATATACACAAACACACACACAGAGAAACACACACACACACACAGACCGTAGAAGGAAAGATATGTAAGTAGAATTTGCAGGTAAGTGTTATAAGAATAAGTAATTCCATTGATTCTCATAGCAACAAACTTCTGAATACAGTAGAAACAAGGGCAAGGAGTGTTATGCTGATGTATACGATGACACTGACGAACTAGAGCAGAAATGGTCAATGGTGGCTTATAAATACTTCACATATTCACCTTTAAACTACAAGATGGTAGTGTATCAAAGGACATCTATTTCTATGTTAAAAGTCAACGATTAAAAAAATCCAAGAAGGAGCCTGACAAAAGTTCCCGAAATTCAATAGAGAATTCGCAAAATTTCCCCCTTTTGTGTTGCTAGCCGAACCATCATTCAATCCTTTAAAAGACCTGCACTTTCTTACATCAAAATAAGCGGGGAGCTTTTGTCTCTCCTTCCACATTTCTAACCCACAAAGGGAGGCACTTTCCATATTCCAACAAAAAAATTCAGTCAAACAAAATACTGAAACTTCTAATCCATTTTTAGCCTTCAAATTTTCTGAAAAAGATCAATGTCAGAGCTACAGCACTGTACACACCTCCTTGAGTCAATCAATAAATGCAAAAATACACAACTACGCAATCAGGCACACCGTCAAACAGGCAGTCAGATATTTGGGAGGCAGCGTGGTGGAATCAGGCTCTCGTCAATTTTTGAGCATGTAGATTTATTGGTATCACTTTAAAGCTTGTTCATTTGTCTTTATTTGGATTAAAAAAATATCCATTTATCTTGGATACAAGTTGAGATATTTGCGAAAGAAGGAGGTGGGGGTAACTTGTTTTCAGACGTAAAATTAGTAAGAAAATGGCCGCCAAAGATTAGTTATTTCCTTAGCTTAAGAGTCCGTGATAACCGAAAATTTACAATGTTTTTCAGAAAAATCCACACAGAAATGAGTTTTTTGATGGGCATGAAAGGTGTTGGGCCAAAAAACATAAATTTGTTATAAAAATCCACAAACCTGTGGAAAAATGCAAATTTCTTCACATTGATTATTTTGACGAGAGCTTGATTCCACTACGCTGCCTCACATTTGAATTCACACATAAACAGGCGCACATACAGGATAATACACAAAAGCCATACCCGTCATGACTGGACAAAGGGTACAATGCTCAATTACTATCCTCTTAATAACATCCAAAGAATGAGCACAAGCGCACATAGAGAATAATAACATAAATACAATGACTGAAATGAAAAATCATCATCCATCGAGATTAATAATACATAAGCAAAAAAAAAAGGATTTCTTGGCCACAGTCAAACTTTCAGAACAGCAGATCAACCTCGATTTCACCAAAAAAATCACATGTTTTGGCCCACATAATGATAAGTAGTTAAGGGCAAGTGTAAGTTCCATCAGATAACAAGCAAATCTTTCACAAAAATAAGAATGACTGTCTGGTCATGATACAGACACAATGGGTGTCTCTCTCTTAATTTTATACATGAACTTCCATAAATGAAAGAAACCAGTGGATTAGTTTGTCACACTGACAGTGTAAGCTCTGAAAGGTTTTGTAAAAGTAAGTCCCCCCGTTGTTAAGTCTCAAGGATCAAACTGAAGAATGTGCCTTACATACCAAAATGGATCACTGATAAAAAAAAACTCAATGCAGACAAAAGCACTGCAGTAAGAAAGAAGCAAAACAAACAATTTGTAAAAAGCGGTTCAAATCAACCAATTTGCACAATGGAAAAGAATTCCGACATGTCGTTTCCACATGTCCTTTTATTATCCTCCTGAATACACGCCTCAAGGGTGACTCTACCAAGACACTCTTGTGCACATCCTTAGTTTCATACGTAAAAAATTAACTTATTTTCTGAAACCAACACCAGGATGAGCCACCTTTATTCACTTGAGCCCAAACCTGTTTCACCACGGGTAACCAGAGTTCCAGCACACAGCCACGGTAACAGTTCTCTTGCCATATGATGTGCCAAGAATAAACAATCAAAGACTTTAGTATCCAAAAACAAAAAGTCACGTAATTTTAGGCTGCTTTTCTTTTTAAGATAAAGAGCAAATATCACGCATGACTGCAAGACAGGAGGGTCTTAGTTTAAAAACTTACAAACCAAATTTTAACCCATTTGTATCTTATATGACAGCCCGAGGCAGTGTCTTTTTCAGCCCATACCAAATACTTTTGTGAAGTGATACAATTCACTCATTCCAGAAAAACGGTCAAAACTGTTTTAATATTTGAAACTGAGAAAGGTGTGAGACCTTTGGACATCATAAAAGCAGAGCGCTGTCAATTCATGGTGTGTTTTGATAAATGTTTTAAAAAAAACTCCAATAAGGAATTAAAACAAATTTTTTAAATGCAGAAACCCAGGAGAACTGAAATGAAGAGGCTGGCAGAGATTATAAAAGAACTAAACACTGAGGCCAAATATGGGCCAAAGATGACAAATTGGTGATTTGACACACACAAATCTCACGATCTGCTGAACCACATGGAGAAAAAGGACACTATCTGAGAATCCGTACAAACTTGGGGAGAGTTAAAGACGCTATCTCTTCACACAGCAAAACGTAGACAAATATGTGTAAATACTGTTGCACACCTTGTCGTGCCTGCATTCAGAAAGTAAGCGAACCACTTACACTTTCACGGGAGTTCTGCAGCCATTCAAAACTAGCCACGTTCGAAACAATCGGATGTGTTACACATTCCAAATCACATATTGTAGCAGGTGTTTATCACAAGGTCAGGTCCCATAACATCTGACCAGACAAATGATCACAAGAACAAAAATATTGTTTAAAAAAAAAAAAAAGCAGAACCCCTCCTCCCCATCCCCACCCCAAAAAAATAAAATCCACACAAACACCCC